CTGCAGACAGTGGCTGCTCTGTGGGCAGCAGCTCTTGTCCACAAGGGTCCCAGCAAGGAGCTGAGACCTCCAATGGACATGGACTGCTATTGACAGGACAGGCAGGCCTTCTCAGTGCCTGCGGCTCTACAACGTAAAAGAGTAGGAGCTGGGCAGCCTACCCCCTGTCTCCTACTACAATTTAAATTGCAGGGCCACAGCAAGGTTTTGACCCTGACCCAGTGCAAACAGAGACTGAACTGAACTGTCTGCTCCCCCACCGTTCCTATTCAATTTAGGAGCCAGGTCCCCAGCCCGGTTCAGTCCCTGCTCACACTGGGTTGGAGACCAATCCTCGCCGTAGTTCTGCAATTTAAAATTCAGTAGGAGTCAGGGAGCAGGATGCCTGGCTCCAACTAGGGTTGCCAGATGGTTTTAAAGAAAAAATACTGAAAAAAAAGAAGACCTCGGAGAGTTGTTAAGCAACAAAACAAAACAAAAAACCCCAAAACAGCGTGGTCCCTTTAAAAAACGTGTGGGGATGCTTTTTTACCCTAACCCTGAATTGAGCCTGTGTGGGGCTGGACAGCTCCCCTGTGGAACCCGGTAAGTACTATGGTTGTTGGGCTGCCTCCGTATTGAGCCAGACAGCATGGGATTTTCGCCTCCTGGCTGGGAAAAATTAAATTACCAGACATTTTAGGTGTCCAGTATTTTCAGAATTTTTTTTACTGGACAGGAGGCAAAAATATAGAACTGTCCGATTCAATACCGGACACCTGGTAACCCTAGCTTCAACTGTGTTTTACATTGCAGAGCCACAATGGGGTTTGGTCCTGGTACAAGTTGGGACACCTTCCCCTGTTGAGTAATCAAGTAATCAATAACAATTCTATCGACTATTCGATTACTAAAATAACCTCAATTTAACATCACTATCTCAAAGCTCCAGTGGATCAGGCCCTCAGGGGGCTAAGAAATACAGACATAGCAACCAAAGGAACTCTTTCCAGTGATTTGAAGGGCATTGGACCATGTTCATGGAACCAGATCCATACATATGCTGAATGTTTTCAACTTCCACTGATTTCAAATTAGGCTGATAATTCTCAGTGCCTTAGAAGATCCTACTACTGAAAGCACACTCCAGTGTTCCCTGTAAGTTGTGTACTTGTGTAGCCACTCAGGAAAGATTCCAATGATTTGCAGAGTGCACAAAGCTTGTCTTATGTTGTGGTTATGTAGTGGTTGTGCACATTTGCACATGCCTTGGTGCACATAAAACTTTATTCCACATATGAATGGAAAAATCTGCACATGGATGGAAAAGATTCAAGGGAACATTGGCACAGAACCTGTTAAATAAAGATTAAAAGGACGAGATATCAGAAAAGAACTTTCATGGGAGAGTATTTTCAAACCCAGGTTGCATAAGGAAGGTGAATCTAGGGACAAAAATTATTAAGCAAAACATGTTTTTATTAAGCAATTTAACATACTGGAAAATCTGCAGCATATTCATATTCATCATCTTCCATTTGTTCTATTTATTTTGTGATGAAGGGATCATCTAGAAGCTGTGGGTCACAAATGCAGTCTTAAGGATGCTTTTGGCTATGAGAACCCATCTGAAATAGCAAATCTAATCTCTGCAGAGAAGTTTGAAGCAGCCTTGGCCATTCATCTTTATAAAGGAGGCAGACTTCTGCAAGGTAATCCTCTTTCAATTTAGCAGTTAAAATAACCCTTAAAAGAAAGAGACTGAAAGTAAGCAGGATGAAGACAAATAGCTACAAATGGAAAATGTACATAAACCCATGCATAATGTAGTTATTCTTTATTCATTTCAACAAATGTTAATAAACATTTAAAATGTTTCTCTGTGGGGGGAGCCTAGCTCAGAACAGAGGAATAAGTAACTGTACTTTTAAAGGACACTGTGTGTTTTATAATTAAATATTTTTACTACAGTAAGATAAGAGCATTACAGTAACTTTAAGATACTTTCAATAAATGTGCTCTTTCAGAGGATGATAATAGCTTGGCTAAGTATAGCAGAGGTCAAACAGAAGAAAGGAGAAAGGCTAATTTGATTTTCTGTTGAAAAATGAATCATGTTTTCTAGACATGAAATAACTTTGAGTTGTCAGTCATGCCAGCTAAACTGCAGGAGACAGCATGTTAGCTGACAAATAATAAAATCTTCCATTATAACTGGCGAAGTAGAACAAAATTTTAGTCTGCCATTAATGACATGAGCAACATTGGTTTCCTGAATTACTGAGGCCCCAACTGAAATTGGAAATATATATCGCCCCCTTCTTGAGATCATGTTTGGATCGTCCAAGCCTGTATATTTGGTCAAATGTAGATAATTGATTACTTGCAATAGACCTGGAAATAACTCTAGTTTTCAGGTCCTAAAAGTCTTTCAGATACTATGAGTGTTTCAAAGCTTAATTTATTACTGCTAGTATGCATTGGCACAGTGTCCATCACAATGGAATCCTGTTCAGATTGGGAACTCTGGAATATAAATAAGAAATAATTAATCATCTTAATCTGTGTACTGTAATTTTTATTGTGTTGCAGGACACAAAATAGTTACAGCAAAGGCTAATGAAAGGTGCTAAGATTGATCTAACATACTGTTGTAGGTGAAGAAGTGAAGATAAGGTTGGATTTTCAAAAGTGATTAATGTTTGGCTAATTTGTACAGAAGTCAAATTCAGTTAATGCTAAGTACTTTTCAAAACCGCACCCTAAAATCCAAAATGAATTGAAACCTTGCTACTTATCCGATAAAGGAAAATCTTACTAATCTAAATGAATCATAGTTGCACTGTTCCTATAGGCAGCTGCAATAGCGAACAGAATTATATTGAAAAATGAAATAGAAATCTACAGAGAAAATACACTAATATGGTTATCAGAATGATTGAGCTGACAAATCTTGGATGGATTATTGAGCTTTGAAATGAAAAAAAAAAACCCCAAAAGCCCAGAATGTGGGAGAGAGATAGTAATTGGTTTCAAAAATTTAATAATTGGCGTGCATGTTTACAGTAACATCTATTTCAGGGGCAGGCAAAATACAGCTTGTGTGTTGGATCTGGCCCTCCAAACCTTCATATCTGGCATATCACAATTCCATGGCCCTGCAGGACCCTCAGGCAGACTCCCTGCCTGCTGCACCGCCACACACTGCACAAAACAGCCGGCTGCTAAGGTCATGTGCATCTTGGTGCAAAGGGGTGGGGGTCTCCTTACATTGCTACCACTCCCAGCACAATCTAGAGTAAGCGGCCTCCCAACCAGAGCCTACACCTGGCACTTCACCTCCTTCGTCTCCCCAACTGTCTGTCCCAGGTCACAGCTCAAACCCCTGCACCTCTGCCCCAAGTCACAACCTCTCCCAGATCCTGCACCTTCTGCTGAATCCTAATCCTCTGCCCCATCCCCGCTTGCCCTAAGTCATATCTTACACAAGACAGGGCTGCAAGATGGGGCTCTATAATAAAATATTAGAAGTAAGTTGCATTTCTGTAGTACATTTCTACCTGAAACCCCCAAAACACTTTAAAAATAAGTATTACTTCAATCACTACGGAAAAACAGTTAGCTCTGAGTTAAAAATACAAGAGTGATTTTGACAGTGCATATAACATTTTGAGAGGTGAAAATACCATATTCAATTGAAAATGCAGGGGGAATTTTTGGTAGGAAGAATGGAATTGAGTAAATTGGACATTAGCCAGAACACTGTGGTAACAGTCTAAATCTTGTAAAAAATGTGATTTTTTTGGTTAGTTTTAAAGTAACAATAAATATTCAGGGCTTGTTAGTTTTTTTTCCTCCAAAAGATGGTGTCTTCAAAAGCACACTGTTCCCAATGACATGTTGTACATTGGTCTAATCTTTAGAGGAAAGAG